TCACCACTTCCGCTTAACTTGAAGTGAACTTGAAGTGATTTTTTATTGTTTCGACCGTTTCAGCAGCGTTTTACCTAGATGAAGTGAAGTGAAATGAAGTGGTGAAGTGGTGCTTTTACCCCCTTGAGAAAAGCCCTGAATTAATTTCTTCTTATTTCTGTAGCTTTGAGCTGACAATGAACATTTAGGGCTTTTCTTGTAAATTATATAACTTTGCAAATAAACGTCATGTAGAGCTGGGGAATGTCTCATTTTAATCAGAAATGCGCGCGCTACAATTATATCTTATTTAAAAATGTTTTGATTATTTTTTAAAGTTTCTGAAAAACTGGTTTTCTACAAAAATTGAGTCTTCAAGAAACATTGGGAAAAATGCTTTATGTCACTAGAATCAGCTCGTCGAGCTGTACAAACTGGGATATCTCCCATTCAAAACGGTGATTCACACTTGGGGACCTTCCCTCGTCGGCGAGGTACGGGACGATTAAGAGACACGAAGTTTGCGGGGCGATTCCTTGATGGAGCTAAAGATGGTTTATCGCTCACCGCTGGTCCGTACATATATCGCAATACCGTCTACTCGTTTTTTAATGGATTTTCAAGGACATGCTATAGTTAACCTGCAGATTTTGAGTAAACAGTTCGCAGACACTCTTTGATGCAATTTTTGAGTCAAAATAATATTCACGGACTAACGTAAGTTGTGAATTTTTTTCTAAAAGGACTTGTCATTTCAAAGGTGACTGTCAGTCGTAAAATTCCTGTATTCTCGTAAGCAGTCAGAGCCAGCAAACGCAACTCAGACTGTACTATACTCATACTTATACTCTAGAACACATTCTTCTTCTAAAGCCCTTAATTCCCTTCAATGCAGACGAAATTTGTAAACTTCATAATATTGCAATAACCTACCTTGAAGGTACATCTACATATATTTTAAATCTGTACTCATTTCTCCGCGTAAGCTTAGTTACATTTTTGTCTATATTTCATTTAATTACTTCTTTGTCATTTTTCTTTAATAATAATAATAATTGCGTTCGTTCTCTATCAGCTTTCTATAGCCAGTTAACAATGGCGATAGAACTGACTATTTCTTGCTAATCGAGAACATGCATATCTGTCATGAGTTTCTTCCAAGTGTTTCGTTGTTGCGCGACCATTTCAAGCGCTCGGAGGTCTTCAATTGTTTTGAGCTGAGCTGGTAGATCTTTTGCAGCTGTTATTTCTGCTTTTTTGTTTGCGATCTCTTTGAGGTCCTTGTTGATGATGATGGGCAGTGTGGTTCTTGACGCGCCTCTGAACCCACTTCCCTTTCGGAAGTAATGTACCATGGTTTGTTTGGCTGGGATGTTGTCGTCCACCCTGAGCACATGACCTAGCATTCTCCATCTGGCGATTCGGATTTTGTCCGAGATTTTTCCACTGTTACAGCGTTCGTATAGCTTGACGTTGGAGATGGTGTTCGGGTAATATACCCCAATTACCGATCGTAGTTGCTTGCGATGGAATGCGTCTAGCTCGATTTTTCTTTCGTTCCGCGCTTGAATTAGGTTTCTATGATGAACGACAATCGGATAGAGAACGTTTTAAAAAATGATCCGATGTTCAAAACATGACCTGGCATGTCGATTTTTCGTGCGACATTTAAGCCAAAATATTGCAAAATACGAGTCTCTTTTTTGCAAAAATCTGTAGTCAGATTTTCGTGTCTCACGTAACATCAGGCGCATCAAGTGTTTTATGCGTTTTCTGTCAGAGTAAAATACTCATCATTTTTAATCCAGGAGCAACGACAGGGAAAATTATATCACAGGTATTAAACTTCTTTCATTTTATTGTTTCCTGTAATGTATTGCTTTCTCTCTAACACTCATACCCTTCTCACATATTAAGAATTCATCAGGCTGTAGACTGAGAATGATCCGAAATCATTCATGTTCTCGGTCTGTCTGAAATTCACTGCTAAAAACAATCATGTAATTTTGACTCTTAACATATTTATTAAGATTAGATTTAATTCTAATGAACTACACCACTTAAACAACAATAAATCAATAAAACATTTATAAGAATTACGCAAACCAGAGTATATTCTTGCTACTATCACATTGAGCGCCGAATTGTTTTTTAAATGGTCAAAATACCTCACGATGGTCATCAATTAATGGTGATGAATGACGTTTGTATAATAGGCGTGATGAATGTAGTATCAAATGAATATGGACGCCATAGCTACTCTTTTGCTTTTGGACGATCGATACAATTCGTTCAATAAGATTTTGAGCAAGAGATGGAGAGGTGCAAGCTACGCGAATATCTGACACAGTACTGTCAGATGATCTAAAACCGAATTAAAAAATGATTGTTATCAGATTGAAGTAATATAAAACAGCTTACATTGATTTTCTTGTTGTTTCATCAAAAGATACAATTTTATCGGACGCTGATGCTCTAAAATAGTAGATTCTAGAATGTATAGATGGCTCTGTCATATCCATAACCCGTAACGACATCAGATCGTGGTTCTTTTCTTCATACAATTTTTTTTTCTTCTGACCAGAATAAGAAAAAATGACAGAAAACGGACTGTAATAGCATAAAGTCAGATCTCTATTTCATTGATCAAATTCTATCTGATCAATTCAAGTCAAGGACATTCCTTAGTTAGAGACTATATCTATTTTGTAATAGTCGCTATAGTTTTCATCTTGTTTACCTGCGCTTTAGCATCGTATGAGATCGCCGAGATGATCGTTTTTTTAAAGAACACATATAACGAACCAGTATCCAACTAAACACCAGTGTAAATAGACCCAGAAACAAACAAACAGCCAAGACAATCTTTTTAGTATCAGCATATTCTTCAGTAGCAGATGTTGAATGATTATGATTTTGATGAGTATTCATTAGGATATGGAACTTCAATAATCGTATTTATGACACTAAAATCAAAGAAGTATACGATATTTTCATTAGGGATGTATCAAATAAGCAGATCGATTAATGCTCAGTTATAGAGAAACATTAGCGGCCTTGACCGGACTAAACGTTTTACCCTTTTCAGTCGCCTAAAGAATTGAATAGCCATATAGCTTGTCAAATTACCATTTGTGCACAAACTGTCAAGAGTCAATATTGACTCTTGACAGTTTGTGCACAAATGGTAATTTGACAAGCTATATGGCTATTGTTAGGAAGTAGGTAACCTAATCTCATATCAATAGTTGCCATGTTTCAATATACATATTCTTATCGTCACTCGATGGTTATTTTCCCTTTCTGTTCTTCTGATATATGTATTCACTCTTCTGC